GGCGGCGCGGGGAAGCAGCATCAGGTGGGAGCAGGAAGGATGGCGCTTAGGGTCGGCTTTGAACAAGGATTTCCAGGTTTTAGATCAGTATTGGTGTCGGCACACATCCCCACATGAGGTCAGCGGCGCGCAGTGGCTCTCTCGCAGGCTGATTTTGGCTGTTTTCGAGTTTGTTTTTGTTTTCAGACTAGGGGGCCCAACCCCCTCAGAGGCGGCGGGCGGGCGCCCACTGACCGAGAGATCAAAAACGCTCGGCCCGAGAGTGGAGAGAGAGAAGAATGTGAATGAGAATATTTTACTATTTACAACAAAACTCTCTCTCTCTCGACACTAGGCACGGGACTGGCGCGCACTGGCACTAACACAGGTACACCACGGGAGCCGCCTAAGCGACTCCTGCGAGGACATGAGAAGGTCGACTGGGCCGACTACGGTGAGCCATACGGACCTGGCACAAAACCTTTTCCTTCTAAGCAGGGCTACACAATGACCCTATAGTGTGGGGGTGTTCCTGGTGAGTTGTTATGAGTAGAATTAGATTAGCCAATGGTATTTTGTAGTTCATATATGAAAATACCAACTTGCCTATGTGCACGTCTCCGCGGCGGCGGCCCGGCGGCGGCCCTGCGGAGCGGTCAGAGCAGCACTGCGCCGGCCGGCGATCGACTCTCGACTATAACACGGGCTCTATTGAATGGCCTCAAGGTACTCTCTAGGGCTGCCCTATTCCGCTCGCCCGGCTACGTCGCCGGGCTTCGAAGGAAAAGGTTTCGCTCGGCACGGCGTCGGTGAGCAAACTTCGACGTTCGTCCTATAGTGGACGCACGTCGGCAAGTGGGCTGCATGATCAGGCGGGCTGGCCCTTCTCCGGCTCTGCGCCAACCGCCGCTTCCTCAGCCAGAGAGCTATTTCATCCCAGAGCCGCTCGTGTCGAGACAGGGATTGGTGCCTCCCTGACACGTATGACCAAGGTAAGATAAGGTCTTACCTGACACACATGACACACTTGACAGGAGCAACCACATGCACCGCGTCTCCATTCTCACCAGCCAAACACGGCCAGTCAGCCGACACAGCTCGCTCTGCACTCTCCCATGGCCACGCCGCGCTCGCCGTGAGAGACGTGTCCGAGAAGCCTCCCGACCGCGTCGAACTCATCGAGAGAGAGATTTATTAACCAGAAATTCTTTCTCATCGACGCGGGCTCTCTCGGCTACGGGACCGGCCCCAGCTTCGCGTTCGGCTGACAAGCTGCCGAGCCCAAATCACTATAAAAGGCGTGATTTAAAAAATAACGAAGAAAATCGTGCTCTCCCGTTCCCCCGACGGCCTTTGCCTGGCATCCACACAAGGAAGCGGCCATTCACCGCACAACTGTGAACGGTGACTCGAAGATCTCGCGCGTCAACCTTGAGCGAGTCGTAAGGCGAGCCAGCACTTTCCTCGTCTGCTCGCGCTTGCCGCGCCGCATTGCGCCCGACTATACCGCCGCGAGCTGCACGCCTAGACCCCCGCGACGCCTATCGCTCACGGAACCCGCCGCCCCCTCACCTCCCCCACCACGCGATGCGCCCTCGCTCGTCGCTCGAGCGGCGCGAGCGGCTGTTCCCCAAATGGCCTCGCACCGCCTGCCTACTCCCGCTCGCAGGTGCAGCCGCTGCCATTGAGGAGGGCGCGAGACGCGTCCGCTGCTGCCCATTCCCCACCCTTGTCCCGCGCGACCGCCCTCCCTCACTTCTGGCAAGAGAGCGACCCGCTCCCGCTTGCTCGCCAATCGCCGCCCGGCTCCAGTCCGAGCGCCGAGGACGCGAGAGAGCGTGCCGGCGGCCTCGTCTCGACGCTCACGCCGCGACGTGCTGCCCGTAGGCGCGGCTCTCCTCTCTCCGACTCGCTCTCTCTTCCCATTCAGCATGCACATGCTGTGCGGCGCGTTTGATTTCTTTTTATCTGTGCAGGCGAGGCTCGAGGCTGGGGGGCGGGTAGGCGGGGGGGCTGCGGGGCTGGGTGGGTGGGTGGCGGGCGGGCTCGAGATCGCGCGACTGATCGTTTCGTGGGGAGATCGTCGCCTCGTCGAGCGGGAAGAAGCCCGACAGCATCGCGAAGAGCGATACGCCCAGGCTCCACACGTCGGCCGCGAAGCCGTCGTACCCGCGCCCGCTCAGCACCTCGGGCGCGGCGTACGACTTTGAGCCGCACATGTCGGTGAGGGGGGCGGAGCGGTCGAAGGCGCCGTCGGCGCCGCGCTGGTACTGGTGCGACAGCCCGAAGTCGATCACCTTGACCGTCCC